AGTTACGCAAATATTTGTGTGAAAACTCAATTCAGATAAAGTCTTGCAGGGCTCCAGATAATTTTTCAACATCAGGAGTACGTACTCCTTATATTTTCAATATAGGAGTACTGGATAAACTTAAGAGTACATTTTGAGTACTGAATGGAATTTAATGGCGTATCAGTAATCTTGTGTTTCGTTTCATATATGCACCACAACATTGCTGCTCTTGTGCAAACAGGCCAATAAACAATAAAACAACACTCTTTCAGATAAATATGTCTTTAAATGATTCTAAGACCGTACACCATTGCTGTGGTGCGTATGTGCTACGTTTTCTAAATTATTTCCTACCGTATCGTGCATATTTTTTATCCGTACATATGCCGATACGGCACTTATCTGGAGCCCTGTCTTGCGTACAACTTCTTTGATGGGCATTTTAGAAGTTGAGTTGATGAAGAATAATGACAATTATTATGGATATTCAACTTCTTTTACGTCGCCTCCACAGAATAAAAAAAATTGTATATCCATAATAATTGTCATTATTCTTCTTGCGTACAAGTACGCTTGAATTTTTGTAAATACTTAGTAAATTTGATCTTACATGCGTACACACAAAATAAAATAACTCCGGTATATTGAGAGGTTCTATTTCAGCACATGAACTTGGCAACTTGTATTTTTTGTATGATAGTTTATCATATTACAGATAAAATGTAAATAACAAACATGTAAACCAACATTTAAACTTTATTATATTTTTACAATTAGTGCAAAATGGCAAAATACCCAATTGAGTTTGAGTGAGGTGAGTACAATTTATTTGGTTACTCAAAGGAAAATTAGCATACCCAATTGAGATGAACGCAAGCGAGTACATAACTCAATGACTCAAAAAGTTATCTGCAGCTATGGACCATGATTCAATACCATGAGACCATGATATGATACATAGCTTGATAATAAAGGTGTGATATCATTCGCATCCTTATACAGTAGTCATTTGAATTTCCTGAGAGGCATGTAGAAGTTGGTATTCAATTGTAAAACAAAATATTACGGATGTCAACTTCTCGTTTATTGTATACCCAATGTTTCTGGGCTTTTCCTTGCCCCTTTGTCATTCACCTGACATCCTGACAAGTTGACATCCATAATATAATACCAATCAAAAGTTTAGACTCACTAAAACATTCACTATATGTTATTCATGTATATATGGTTACAACGAAGATTAATTTCTCCACTAACTTGGGGGAAACAACTGCATACCTTATGCAGATTAATTGCATGAGGATCATGCATCAAACTGCTGAAAAGTAAATGCAAATATCGTGCATGTGAACAGCTGTGTTTTGGTGTGAAGTTTTGATAAAAATTAGCTTTTTTCAACTGAGTTTCTTCATTTATTGAACGCATGACAATAATCTTTTCAACGTTATGAATTTGTTTTACAATACATCAGTTCATGTATAAACAGCACCTTTAAACAGTATGGAATATTTTGCAAAATTTAGTTTAGAACAGTTGCCTGAAGTAAGTGGCTACATGTACACTAGTGAGTCTAAACTTTTGATGGGAAGTATATTTTTTTGTATACAAGAATGATTTGTTTTCAAATTTATGGGGACGGTGGGGTAGCCTAGTGGGTAAAGCATTCGCTTGTAACGCCGAAGACTCGGGTTCGATTCCCTACATGGGGACAGTGAGTGAAGCTCATTTCTGGTGTACCCTGCCGTGATATTGCTGGAATATTGCTAAAAGCGGCATAAAACTAAACTCGCTCACTCACTTTCAGGAGCACAGAGGTTTTTTTTTGCTGTTGTAGGTATTTGCGCACACTTAAGGAACATTAAGATCGCCATAGAAGATCGGACTGTTCTAATATCTTGATAAATTTATGATTGCATTCATGATTGGGATTTTGTTAGGGAGAAACATAATAGCTTGGGGCACTGTACAGACTCAGCTATTTATAGAAAACCAGTAATACTTGAGAATCTGCATTAACTGGTTCTTCCACGGTTATTTTTCATGTGGTTTTACATCATGATTTAGTGTAACGAATTGCATTTATTGTGATGCAGGTGTGTAAATCGATGTATTGCATGGTGAGCCTTGTATCATGATACATATTGTATTGCCGTATTGTGACTCCAGTATCTGAGCCATACTGGGCACTGGTGTGTGGTTTAACCTTTGTTTTGTATACACAGGTTGTTTTACCTTTTTTTCCCTTTCATTACTTGTCTGTTTTTCAAGGCCACTCTTTATACATACGGGTTGAACACCCAGTCTACTAAATTTTCTCACTCAAAGTAAGGATTTTGTGTGAGCAGATTACCTTGCATTTTGTCCAGTATGTTTTGATTTCTGAGAAAATGAATTTGGTCTGACATCACATGAGAAGACACTTGCCCTCTTTTTACGCCGCCATCATTATTATTATCATAATTATATTTATTATATTTATTCATGATAGAGGCTATGTTAACATGGTGGACAAAAATCTGCAAGAACAACATGTGAAATTTCATGATGTGGCTATATTCGGATTCTATACTGTGAGTCAGGTCATTGGTAGTTTACCGCAATGCATTGCCCACCATGTGAAGACAAACATGGATAGTAGTGGGCTGACTGTGGAGTTACACTGTGGGATGGGTTGACAATTTGGACTGCTCTGAGCTCCTGAAATTGGGATAGGTGTAGTGTTGATTTGATGTAGTAAAATGTTTTGAAGAAGTTAGGTATTTCACTTACAGTGCTCCAAATAATGTGCTCAGAAACTGACAAGTTTCTCACAAGTGTACAGTTAGTTCACACTGGTGATGGGGCTGTGGGGTAGCCTAATGGGTAAAGTGTTGGCTCGTCACGCCGAAGACCTGGGTTAAAATCCCCACAAGGGTACACTGTGTGAAGCCCATTTCTGGTGTCCCCCGCCGTGATGTTGCTGGAATATTGCTAAAAGCGGAGTAAAACCAAACTCAGTCAGTCAGTCACACTGGTGATGGGCCCCATGAATATTCAAGTTAGAATTAGAACACAGGTGACTTGGAATATTAGATGGTCATGCTAGCTGACTTGTGTAAACAATCATGATGTCAGTCACTGGATTGTCTAGTCTCGACTCAGTTATGTACAGACTGCTATGATATGGTATTGCTGGAATATTGCTAAAAGTGGCGTAAAACCAAACTCAGTCAGTCAGTAACCCATGCTTGTCGTATGAGGCGACTAACGGGATCGGGTGGTCCGGCTCTCTGGCTTGGTTGACACGTCATTCCCAGTTGCGCAGATCGGTGCTCATGCCGCTCGATTAATTACAGACCGCCACCGTATAGCTGGAATATTGCTGAGTGCAGCGTAAAACTAAAATCACTCACTCACAATATGATATGGCAGAAACATTAAAAAATGCTAGATTAAAAGACAAGTTTCTTTAAAAGGAAGGTATTTTAAAAAATATGTGTTTCACCAAAATGTGTTCCACAGGTCATGAATTAAGGAACCAGGTGCCATTTGAAATGAATATCTGGTTCCACGAGATAAAACCAGGGTGCACCATGGTTTCATTAATTCATCAATGTTGCAACATGCATGTAATCTTGAAGTACACAGTCTGAAAGCACAAGAAAGCATGACAAGTTATACTCAACACAAGGGTTACTGATGTAGTATGGTAAATAAAGCTTAGGGTTATTGAATGTGTGCAAAGATCAATATTTGTACAATTAAGGATTCGACATAAATTTGAAAGATATTGACATGCACTTTAGTGCAAGTAGACATAGACATTGGGTTGCATTTAGCAATAGCAGGTTGCCCTGTTGAATGTTTTATTGAGCCTTCACAAGACCCATACCTATGTGTAATTATCAGTAAGCTTGTGAAAGTGCTTGTTTGTGCTTTATTCTTAGTATCAGCCGAGTTAGAGCGCCCACCCGGAGAGCGGAAGGTCGCGGGTTCGATCATCGACCGCGTCATACCAAAAGACGTTAAAATATGGTACTTGTTGGTCCCTGCCTGGCGCTCGGCATTAATGGGTACAACAAGGACTGGTCTTTCTGGAGTCAGTATAATGTGTCTGAGTGGGGTATTCATGCTTCACTGCGGCATGGTATCTCAGTGGGCTAGCACTATAAAACCACCTTAAGTCTGGGCTAGTCCAAGCAGCCGCATATGGCGACTCAAACATTACAACCCATACACCGCATGCCAGTATCAGTCATATGAAGTTTAAATATTCTCCAGAAGTCATTATTTATTGTGATAAATCTTTGGTAAAATATTGCGGTACTGCTTGATGTATTTTTTTATTCGATATTTAACTTCTAAGTCATTGCCAAAGTCTTAGTCTTACTTGCTCTCGCGAGGGATTTGACAGTGATACAAGACACTAATGCAAAATGTAATAGAAATAAAGAGTAGAATTATTTTTGATGAATACAAATTGAAAATATAATCTCTTAACAAAAATTGAAGTTTTGTCTCTTGATCCTGGAAATCTGAGTTTAGGAGAGGAGGCCTTCTTTGCAAGAAATGATTTTTGCACACCTTTGATGGTTGTCTATGTGCTGTTATTTTAGCTTAACTAATCCCAGTTGTTTCTTATGGTACGGAAAATTCAAAAAAGGCTATCATGTTCATGCACAGAGCTGTGTAAGTACAACAATATTGAATGTGTTATTTAGGCTTATTTCACCTTGCCTCACCTTGTCTCAGGTTACTCCCCACCCCACCTCAAGTCAGCCCCACCTCCCCATGCCTCATCCCCAGCCGGGGGCGGTGGGGTAGCCTGATGGGTAAAGTGTTCACTTGTCACGCCGAAGACCCGCGTCCGACTCCCCACATGGGTACTGTGTGTGAAGCCCATTTCTGGTGTCCCCCAGCCGGGATATTGCTGGAATATTGCTAGAAAGCGACGTAAAAATTAACTCACTCAATCATCCCCACCTCACAGATATGCGTTTAATTCTGTGATTATTTATGTGTTGTGTTTGTGTTCACAGGGACAGGGGAGTCCGGGAAGAGTACCTTCATAAAACAGATGCGAATTATCCATGGCGCAGGCTACTCTGACGATGACAAGCGCACCTTCATCAAAATCGTATACCAGAATATCTTCATGGCTATGAATGCCATGATCAGGGCCATGGAGACTCTCAAGATCGCTTACAGAGATGTCAACTCCGTAAATAATCAGACAGTAAGTGGCGGTTTTTTGTGTGAAATTTTACTGTTTTCAAACATTTGAATTATTTTCGGTGGTTTGCCCTGAGGTGCCGTTCAGAGTGTCCCAATGAAGGGTTTTTTGAAACAGCGATTTTATGTTCGAATCCCAACCTTTATGGTATTGGTGGAATTAGTGATAGTATCATGCTGTGTTTGTCATAGATTTCAAATTCCTATCAAATTCCCCTATGGGTAATGGATACATCGTTCATTGTTGTTGCAGATCAATGATGCTATTCTAGTTTAAGGCTGCATGTCATGTAATAAATGAATGCTTTGTTGTCATTTGCGGAACAGTGTCATGTTGAATATAAGGCATATAAATTTATTAGTTTGTCATGCAGTAAGTGAATATAGGGCACTTAAATTGAACAGATTGTCATACAGGAAGTTATCGCATTCCCTCGTCGCAGCGAGGGGTCGATTACACCTATGAGTACAATGTGCGGAGCCCATTTCTGGTGTACCCTGCTGTTATCTTGATGGAATATTGCTAAAAGTGGCATAAAACCATACTCAATCATGCAGGAAGTGAATGTAAGGCACTTAAATTGATCAGATTGTCATGCAGGAAGTGAATGTAAGGCACTTAAATTGATCAGATTGTCATGCAGGAAGTGAATGTAAGGCACTTAAATTGATCAGATTGTCATGCAGGAAGCAATGTAAGGCACTTAAATTGATCAGATTGTCATGCAGGAAGCGAAGGCACTTAAATTGATCAGATTGTCAAGGGCACTTAAATTGATCAGATTGTCGTGCAGAAGTTGTAAGATTAAATTGATCAGATTGTCATGCAGGGAGCGAATGTAAGGCACTTAAATTGATCAGATTGTCATGCAGGAAGCGAATGTAAGGCACTTAAATTGATCAGATTGTCATGCAGGAAGCAATGTAAGGCACTTAAATTGATCAGATTGTCATGCAGGAAGTGAATGTAAGGCACTTAAATTGATCAGATTGTCATGCAGGGAGTGAATGTAAGGCACTTAAATTGATCAGATTGTCATGCAGGAAGTGAATGTAAGGCACTTAAATTGATCAGATTGTCATGCAGGAAGCAATGTAAGGCACTTAAATTGATCAGATTGTCATGCAGGAAGTGAATGTAAGGCACTTAAATTGATCAGATTGTCATGCAGGAAGTGAATGTAAGGCACTTAAATTGATCAGATTGTCATGCAGGAAGCGAATGTAAGGCACTTAAATTGATCAGATTGTCGTGCAGGAAGCGAATGTAAGGCACTTAAATTGATCAGATTGTCATGCAGGGAATGTAAGGCACTTAAATTGTAATTGTCGTGCTGAATGTAAGGCACTTAAATTGATCAGATTGTCATGCAGATAGTGAATATAAGGCACCTAAATTGTATCAGATTGTCATGCAGGAATGTAAGGCACTTAAATTGATAAGATTGTCAAGCAGGAAGTGAATGTAATGTACTCAACTTTATGAGATCGCCATGCAGATAGTGAATATAAGGCACCTAAATTGTATCAGATTGTCATGGAGAATTGTATCAGATTGTCATGGAGAATTGTATCAGATTGTCATGGAGAATCGTATCAGATTGTCATGGAGGAAGTGAATGTAATGAAATAACTAACTGACCATCCTTTGTTTTTCAGGATAATGCAATGTTGATCCGAAATGTTGACTATGAGACGGTGACAACGTTCGAACCCCAGTATGTGGAAGCTATAAAGTGTCTGTGGGCAGATCAAGGTATCCAGGAGTGTTATGACAGACGTCGAGAATACCAGCTCACCGACTCTGCTAAATAGTGAGTAGAACCGCAGTGACATGCGGAACTATGATCAAGAATTTTTACCCGTGAAGATCCGGGTTAGTATTGGTCTTCAGCAACCCATGCTTGTTGTAAGAAGTGATTTGCTGACTTGATTGACACATCATCTATCGCATATCTGTAGCTTGATGCTAATGCTGTTGGTCACTGGATTGTCTGGTCCAGACTCGATTATTTACTGACCACCACCATGTAGCTGGAATATTGCTGAGTGCAGCGTTAAACAACAACCAAACCTTGAATATTAATCTGAAATATTAACCTGAAATATTAACAAACAAATCTCAAATATTAATCTGAAATTATTAACTTGAAATGTTAACAAACAAGCAAACTTCAAATCTTAATCTGAAATATGTTACACCCTCTATAACAGTGTTCACGAATGGTGTTTCAAAGTCACAGGACATTGGGTCCTGTAAGTTTCAGATGTCTGTCTGACCCATTGAAAATGCACAGGACCCATGGAATAAAATTAAACACACATTTCAGATTTAATATTTCTTATAATTGACATTGAAATTATTAACAAACATAAGATTTATAAACAGGAAACAAGTATCACATGTCACATTAAACAACTTCAGTCAAAGTCATTGTGAAATATACAGTCAGACACTGGGGCCGGCGGGTTGTAGACTTCTGTCTGACCGTTGGCAAATCTGCCGGATTTGTCAGAGGGTCAGACGCTATTCGTGATCACTGCTATAATCAACTGTGGCCAGAAATGGTCCCCAACCTATGCTGCTCGTGAAAAAGCATCTTAATGGATTGAGTGTTCAGGCACTGTAACAAGTTTGATTACATGTGATCTTTCCATGACACAGATCTTTGCTCACAATACCAGACACTGTACCCACAAAGGTCGGGGTTAAAATATTGGCCTTCAGTAGCCCATGCTTGTCGTAAGAGGCGACTAATGGGATCGGATGGTCAGGCTCGCTGACTTGGTCGACACATGTCATCATATCCCAATTGCGCAGATCGATGCTCATGCTGTTGATCACTGGATTGTTTGGTCCAGAGTCGATTATTTACAGACCGCTGCTATATAGCTGGAATATTGCTGAGTCCGGCGTAAAACTAAACTCACTCACTCCCAGACACTGGTTTGTGAGGTCCTATTTCTAGCCCACCTTTGTGTAGACAGAATGTTGCTGACAGGTGCATTACACTGTGAACATTTCAGGAATGTTTTGACATCAGCGACATCTGGCCATGCTTCATTAAACATGTCACCATAAACATTACCTTGCTTCATTAGCCCAGGTATTTGACATTCATTGAAGAGGTAGACAGCAGAAATCTGGAAATGATCCAACACGAAGTATCCTGAAAATTCCTAATTTGAGTCTACATATTTACAGCCAAATCAGGGATTTTCAGGATGCGAATTCCTGCGTCCTATTTGCATAAAAATTGACAATGGACGCAACGAAATTTATTAGTGCATCCATTAGTGCATCCACAGGGATGCAGAAAAAATATTTTTGTAAACATTCCAATCAAATAACAATAAGTTATCACTGAGTTTGCTAATGGCTGGGTTATGGTCATTTGCAATTTCATTACTGTAACAATTAAAGTGTTGATCATGATACACAATACAATAACAGTATTAGTAATAATATTCAAGTGTTTTGAACCCCCATTTCGTTGTCCAGGACCCCTGAAAATTCTAAGCCTTAGGTGAGATCACATGTATCACAGGTTCATTGTGGGGCAGGTCTCAAGTCCTAGAAACTCTAAGGGGTCAAGCTGCCAAACACGGTCACCTATCCAAGGACTCTCTGAGCCCAACGTTGTTAACTTGACTTGATTTGTGACCTGAGCTCTATGGAGATCTTATGGCCTAGTTGGTCCCAAAATTCAAATTTGGAACAGCAATTGCCAAGGACCTCAGGTAAAAACGCTGATCAACGTTTTTGTGATGTTGTTAAAGACGAGGGGGATGGTGTGCGGAAAGTAATGACACTGTTTTGTTTCAGCTATCTGAACAATGTGGACAGAATAGCAGCACCTGATTACCTACCCACGTTACCCGACATCCTCCGCGTGAGAGTACCCACAACCGGCATCATAGAATATCCATTTGATTTGGATAGTATAATATTTAGGTGAGTACAGACAATATCTTTGAAGGGGCGGTGGGGTCGCCTAACGCGGATGACCCAGGTTCGATTCTCCACATGGGTACGATGTATGAAGCCCATTTCTTGTGTCCCCTGCTGTGATATTGCTTGAATATTTTTAAGAGCGGCGGCGTAAAACCGTACTCACTCCCTCACTCATATCTTTGAAGGATTCTTGTTTTCTGTATTAAGAATATCTTTCTAAAATTTCTAAGGCTAAGAGTAGCCATAACATGCATCATATTTTATCCATTTGATTTGGATTGTATAATATTTATAGGCTATGTTCTTGAAGATTCTTGTTCATTGTAACAAATTTTCTTCCTTTTTCTTATACTGTAAACCGGAAATATTCTGCGTCAGTTTATTTTGTGAATTTCGCGTTTCTCTTTCCCACGCAAAAAATTCTTGGCGTAGTATTAATATTAACCCATTCAACACTGAAGCCTGGGAAACCAGCCAGGCAGTAGTCACATCAAATACTCTAGCAAAAACAGCTTACTGGTGGATTAGCCTGAAAATTCCCTGATAACTGCATCGACCAGTCCTGCCAAAATCTAGCCTGTCCTCCAAATATAAATAAAACACTTCGAGTCTTTCAAAAAAGGTTCTTCATTATATATATGTTGTTTTTGCTAAAATTGACCCGAAGGCCTACTAGATATTTTTTAACCCCGTCCTGCACAAAATTCACCCGTCTCGGACGTTGGGACGGGCTATCTTTCCTACACTGGGATTAGCCTGCTTCCTGATAACTGCATCGAGAAGACCGGATGCCCCCCATCCACGAATGACTGAGTCTTTGTTCTTCTTCACAATATGTTGTTTTTGCAAAGCCTACTATTCTCGCAAAAATAATACGTCACATAACAGGCTGGGGCTACGCTGACGCAAGTTTTTCTAGGCGCAGAATATTTCCGGTTTACAGTATATGTATTTGTTTGATCTACACTATCTTTAGTATTTAATCAAAGTGAAAGATTTTGATGATCACATATCATTAATGAATTGACTTGCATTATGGCATAAGAATAAAGTCCTTGAAAGTCATTTTGAAGTTAGAAGAACATGAATACTTGACACTTTTTATGGATAGACAGCTTCTTTAATGCAATAGATATGATGCTTCGGAGTAGATGCTAACACCTGCTTGTTAGCACCTACACTGAACCATCGTATCTATTGCATTAAAGAAGTTGTCTAACCATAAAGAGCACTCCTCTTTATCATGCTGGCTTCTAAATGCTACTTTAAGAAATGATGTATTTTCTTTGGAGGAGTCTCCTAATCATCTGATCTCATTGCAGAATGGTTGACGTGGGAGGACAGAGATCCGAGAGACGGAAGTGGATCCACTGTTTTGAAAACGTGACGTCCATCATGTTCTTAGTAGCCTTAAGTGAATATGATCAAGTGTTGGTAGAATCAGATAGTGAGGTAAGAATCAGTTTGTCTCACTCTGGTAAGGGCAGCATTTGTATTTGTTGTTCAAGGAATTTCTTGGCCTTGTTGGGGCAGTGCGGTAGTCTAGTGGTTAAAGCGTCCGCTCGTCACGCCAAAGACCCGGGTTTCATTCCCCCCCATGGGTACAATGTGTAATGCCCATTTCTAGTGTCCTCTGCCGGGATATTGCTGGGATATTGCTGGAAGCGGCGTAAAACCGTACTCACTCACTCTTGGCCTTGCCGTCAAGATAGATAATGAAAACAGCAAGTCTTGATAAGACAAAACAAGGCTTAGATTATCAATGGCTTGTTGATTTCAGGGTTCCACAAAACAAATCTTTGCACTAAGATTATGGTGACTCCATATTATGTTATCCCAGTGCCAAGATTGCTCTGTGGAAAGGACCCAAACCAGCACCGTCTCCGATATTTCCCCTTTCTTGCAAATTTGCAATTAAAATATATAATTTATTCTTGAATTCATAAAAATAATAGGTCAACCTGAGAAAACCCTATAAAATCATTTTTATTGACTCCTCTTAAACCTTAAAACACCTGCTACAAATTATCTATGTCTGTTGCACTTATGTTTTTGGCAAAAAATATGGAATATAAACAGTGAAATGACTGACCTTTGTAGAAATTGTTGAGAATGGGAAAAGGGGTTCAGAGGTTGAAATGTGGAAAAATTGACCTGACATTTTCCGCTTTGTCTGACACAGAACCGAATGGAGGAATCGAAAGCGTTGTTCCGGACGATTATCACCTACCCCTGGTTCCAGAACTCCTCCGTCATCCTCTTCCTCAACAAGAAGGATCTGTTAGAAGAGAAGATTATGCACTCTCATCTAGTCGACTACTTCCCTGAGTTTGATGGTGAGTTTTACAACGTTATCCTAAGCTGGAGATGTTCAACAATTAAGCAAGCTTTGCTTACCATATTCACCTACATGTCAGTATTTAATAGAAAGACTCTTTGGGTGGGGTGGGGGATGGGGTTCTCTATGTCATTTGTACTTTAACCTATAGTCTGTTTGCAGTGAAAACGTACCGATGAATTTCACTTTAAACCTTGGTTTGTATTCCAAGGGGGTAAGCGCAGTAGATGGAACAGTGAAACAAAGACACGTGTGGTACGTGATGAGCGTTAACTTAGACCAGCCTTACTTGTTCTCGGTTTTTCATCTAATGTGCATACCCCCTTGTAATACAAACCAGTAATAGCGATTTGAAACTATGATTGTTTGTTAAACAACTTTTATCCTAAGTTGAAAAAATTCTGAGATTTGAATGTTCAATTGGCTAGGTAAAATTATGAGGATTCGCTATCTTAATTTCGCTTTAATCGATTTACTTTTTTATTTAGAGTGAAATTCATCGGTACGTTTTCACTGCAAGCAGACTATAGTCAACCACTTCCTTGTGTATGATAGCATATCTTTGAACATGTTGCTCCTCTACTTCTTTTCAAAATTATCTGGTGGATTCAGGATACGAATATAGGTCGGCCACAAGCTGTATTCACAAGATGTGATTACTTGGAAAGGGAGGCTTGGTTGAGCTTGTAGATTTCATGCAGTGTGCCCCAGTTTATGCTCATCATTGCCAATCACGGGATTTCATTATTTACATCATATTGACGAGTGCAACAACCACATCCACACAAATCAAATAAATGCCTGATTAGCTTTAAGGTTTATAGTCTTATTCTTAGAAATTGTGGGGCGGTGGGGTAGCCTAGTGGTTAAAGCGTTCACTCCTCAAGCCGAAGGCCCGGGTTCGATTCCCCACATGGGTACAATTTGTGAAGCCCATTTCTGGTGTCCCCCGCCGTGATATTGCTGGAATATTGCTAAAAGCGGCGTAAAACCATACTCAGTCAGTCTTATGAATTGCTACTTGTGGGTTAGATTTGGATTCAGCATCCCATGCTTATTCTTGGTTGACTGGCAGTCATCATCAGGCTGCCTTGGTTGACACAGTCATGTCACCGTGTCCCAATTGTATAGATCGATACTCATGAAGTTGATCACTGAATTGTCTGGTCCAGACTCGATTATTAATGTATGGTCGCCATATAGCTGGAATATTGAGTGCAGTGTTAAGCTAAAAAAAAGAAGAAATAGCTGCTGATATTTGAATACCTTTAATGAAAATAAAAGTATAGAATCATTTATGGTACAGATAGTTGAGTAAAACCAGAGGGTTAAATCGACCAGGTGATAACTGGAGTACCCTTCTCAGAAAGGAACGTTGTGTGGAATTGTCATAACATAAATAGCAGTTGAAAAATTTGAATGTTGAAATACTTGAAATTGTTCAAATCCACTGAAATAAGTAGTCTGTGTCAATATTAGATGGGAGTAGTGAGGTTAGGCAGTGGTTAAAGTGTTCACTTGTACCAAAAGCCCAGGTTTGACTCCCCACACCGATCTGGTCTGACTCCTATGTCTTGTGTCCCGTGATCTTGCTGGAATGTTGCGTAAGACTACTTACTCATGCACTTTTGGAGGGTCACATGCGCATGTGGTATGCTACTTCAGTACTGGCTGATCCTCGTTTCGATGTGAAAAGTTCATTTTTTCCTGTAGTGGCAGAGTTACTTTTGTATGATAAATTCATTAAAAAATAAATGCTAATGTTACAACATTGCATTAATGTTTGACCAGACTAGATAGTTCAAATGGTTAAAACAGTTCTTTCTGCTTTTTTTGCAATAAAACAATCAATAAAAAATATGTTTGTAGATGTGTTCAAACTGAAAAGAATTAATGGGGTTGGATCACACTCTAGAATAATGTAAATATCTTTTTGCCTCCATTCAGCTTATTCTGTTATTTGTGGATACATTAGTCAAAGGGAAGTAACTCTGTTCACTCCTATATTAGCATTTTATATGTTTATGAGGTATGTCGTCATTCTCTGATGCAAGGGATAGTGGAAGGGAGACAACTCTGTCTGTCTTGCTATAAACAGCTATGGAAATAAATTAAGTCTGTTTCAGAATTTATGCAATTTATCTGTTTTCGACAAATAAGCATTATGGACCTAATGGAATTATATAAAATGGTTAACTGCAGTATTTTGCTGGAAAATGGTAAAGTGTATGAAATGGTTAATAGTGTATAGTGAAAAAATGGTGTATTGCAGTATTTTGCTGGAAAATGGTAAAGTGTATGAAATGGTTAATAGTGTATAGTGAAAAAATGGTGTATTGCAGTATTTTGTTGGAAAATGGTAAAGTGTATGAAATGGTTAATAGTGTATAGTGAAAAAATGGTGTATTGCAGTATTTTGTTGGAAAATGGTAAAGTGTATGAAATGGTTAATAGTGTATATAGTGAAAAATGGTGTATTGCAGTATTTTGTTGGAAAATGGTTAATTGTATGAAATGGTTAATAGTGTATAGTGAAAAAATGGTGTATTGCAGTATTTTGTTGGAAAATGGTTAATTGTATGAAATGATTAAAAGTGAAATATTTTGTTGGAAAAGGGATAATTGTATGAAATGGATAATAGCAGTGTATCATGGAAAAATGGTTTATTGCAGCAGTTTGTGGAAAATGGGTAAATTATGTGAAGGTAAATAGTTCCTATGTATGTGGGATGTGTTTGGTTTGTTGTTTAATTATGCAATATTCCAGCAAAATAAATAATCAAGTCTGGACCAAATAATCCAGTGATAAACATCATGAGCATTGATCTATACAATTGGGATACGATGGCATGGAATAGGAGCTGATATCACTTCATCCATAGTCCCCCCAACAGTGCCTCCAAGTAGAAATAGTAATAAATACCTTCATGAGCCCTCCATGATATATTTATATATTTTTTTATGGAAACAGTAGCAGAGATGCCAACCCCAAATGGGTCCAATTAGGAATCTGAGCTCCCTAAGATAGAAAAAATTATGAATTTCCCGAACAAATTGGGGATCCTTATAAATTTTTGCACTCGAAGAATGAAACTTTTTAATGCCATTACATATAGCGATCCTTATACAACTGAAACTGTAGTACTCGGCAGCAGTGTTTGTGAATGTTAAGTGAATGAAATAAACAGTGCATGGAATTTATCAGGCAGCCAACTCAACACTTCCGGATTACTTTCTTGTGTAAACAATTTGAGAACGTCTGTAAATAAAGTGTTATATTTGTTTATCATTATTTATAGTCAAAGATCATCCTAGCCCTCCAGTAAGTAACACTATGTATATCTGTGTTTTATTTTGAAAAAAAAAATCTGAATGAACTTGGCTTTGTCGGAATGGCAGAATCGGCATGCATTTTTCGGAATGATTCCGATAAATTCGGGAGGTTGGCATCTCTGCAGTAGTACAGTAGTCTGTTTTGGGAAGGTAGGCAATGTGTACTCATGATTTAAGCCTTACAAAATATATTCATGTGATCAAAATGTAGCCTTAGAATGACCCTACCATCTGAACAAGTGGCACCTATATCAAAGGTCACCACTGTAGGCTGCTGTTAACTTCCAGATAGATGGCAGGGAGTTATGTTAACCTGCACAACTAGGAGTGAGTGAGTTTAGTTTTACTCCACACTCAGCCATATTCCACCTCTATGGCGGCGGTCTGTAAACAATCTGAGCTAGACCAGTCAATTCAGGGATCAATGTACGCAGTTGGGATACGATGACGTGTGTCAACCAAGTGAGCCGGTCTGACCAACCGATCCAGTTAGTGGGACAAGCATAGGTTACTGAAGATCATTTCTAACCCGGATCTTCACGGGTCTCAACACTAGGGGGGCGGTGAGGTAGCCAAGTGGGTAAAGCGTTGGCTCGTCACGCTGAAGACCCGGGTTTCGATTCCCCACATGGGTACAATGTGTGAAGCCCATTTCTGGTGTCCCCTGCCGTGATGTTGCTGGAATATTGCTAAAAGTGGCGTAAAACCAAACTCGCTAGCTCAAAACTAGGTGTTTGGGGTAACCCTAATGACTACTTGCAAGGCTCGTTACTGGAAATATGAGGGTCCTACGAAGTAATGAAATGCTGTACACTACTGTACTGTTAGGGTTCAGCAGCATGTTTAGTGAATCGAACTGTATCCCTTCGTGAATTCAATTCATTATTCATGATCACAGTAGCTTTACTGTTATATGATTTATTGTTGCAACACAGCATATATTCTTACTTTATTGTTGTTGTTTTTAACAGGTCCAAAGAAAGATGCTGGAGCAGCACGCGAGTTCATTCTTAAAATGTTTGTGGAGCTCAACCCTGACCCGGACAAAATAATCTACTCGCACTTCACCTGTGCTACAGGTAAGTTCCGTTTTGTCTCTTGTATACAATCCTTGTCAGTAGACAAAGACTTGTTGAAGGCAAAACATTTTTTTTAATACATGTTGAAAGGGTCATTTATATAGATTATTTACCGATTTGTTTGGAGGTGCTTGATAATGGTGGTAGATGTCAACAGAGATTGTTGTCCTGATCCTGTTTTGATATCCATTACAGCAGTAGATGTAAGAGTCATTTACCCGATCGCTACTTATAGTCAGCTTGTCTCCAAATTATGATGATGCAAAATAACTCAAAATTGGGATAGTCTATTAAATGTCAAAATGGAACATGGCAATGAATACCCAGTGCTCAACAATAACTGCTGTTTGTTATTTTAACACCAGTCACCGAAAAGTTATTAAAGAGACTATCGTGTTATGTGTACAAGTGTGGTTATATCCCAAAACTTCCACATCCCAAATGGGGCGGTGGGGTAGCCTAGTGGTTAAAGCGTTGGCTCGTCACGCCGAAGACCCGGGTTCGAATCCCCACATGGGTACAATGAAGCCCATTTCTGGTGTCCCCCGCCGTGATGTTGCTGGAATATTGCTAAAAGCGGCGTAAAACCAAACTCAGTTAGTCAGTCAACATCCCAATACTACCACACATTGTTAAAACAACTCCTCATCACCCCCTTTTAGGTAATAGGATAGCCCGGGAAGTGCGCTGAACTGAAACAACAGATAATGATACATCACCTGACTTATCCGAGTAGCGATTTTAGTAGAGAAGAGAGCAGTTAGTTAATAAATCTGAAATATATATAATATAAATTCGTGCATATTTCATGTAGGCAAAAAATGTAAATTTTGTTTTGTTTTATCTTGAAATGTTGTTGATTACGTTCATAGTATTCTGAATATACAAAACATAAATTATGCAAGCTTAACATTAAAATATGTAGTTTTACAATATAACATGGCTAATGAGTTTTGAAATTTTATATTTATTGCTTGAAAGGGGCCAACGAGCCAAACAATACCTTTCAGTTCTGATTTGCAAATATAAAGTAATATGTAGACGAAAAAATCAAAATGAGAATATGAATTATGTTATGCTTACTTGAAGCTCTACTACCAAACATATTGCTAAAAGCGGCGTAAAACTTCAGTCAGTCAGTCAGTCTACTACCTAAACATACTTGCACTACCAACTCCAGGCATAAACACATAAATCAATTTTAATTAAATCAGGAAATTGATAATGTTATATGGTATGGACATTGGCATTAATTGTTATGGTAGTGACACAATAACTGTAGTGACATTTGTAATAATAGCCAGGGTTTTATATGTTTACTTTAAAAGATAATTTAATGAAATTTGTCAGTCAGATATTTCAGAATGTTTAAAGAATATTTAATAGGCAAAAGATTAACTTATGGATGCCCCTGTGATGTAAAAAAACCCAGGTAAAGACTGCATGTTACAGCAGTGACAGTATATAATGTCACCACGGTAACGGCCCTATCACAGCCGAGTTCTTCTACGGAACTGTCCACTTCTGCTCCCACAACAGTACAGAGTGACAGGGTTATGACTGTCAAATGTGTGGGTGAAATCTTGGACATTATAGGACATAAGTTCTATATAAATGCTCTACATAGACTGTTATATGTAACTGGAAAAGAAAGGTATTTTTGTTAATAACCCTGCCTCAGTAAAATATAAAATATTCATCTCTAACAGAAGGGGTGCACAACAGGAGGAGGAACAGCATATACACGCACCACTGCACAATGGTTTCCCGATAGACAGCAGAAGAGGGATTGCCTCGTTATGATTTTTGTTACAATCCAATCCATTTACGTGACAATCCTCTACTAAATTGAGATTTAATAGACTATTCACGATTTTATGTTATTTTGCAATTCATCGTTTTCATTTTGAGACAGACTAAATTTGAACTGAACCCTGAATATATGTCCGACTTGTTGGCAAACTGTTCCCAGATGTTTCACATACAGGGAAACCTGATTTGTTGTTGTTGAGAGAATCTGTACTTAGACTGACCTATGAAGATCTGGGTTAGGATTGGTCTTCAGCAACCCATGCTTGTTGTAAGAGGCAACTATCGGGATCAGATGGTCAGGCTAGCTGACTTGGTTGACACATGTCATCGTATCCCAATTACGTAAATCGATGCTTGTGCTGTTGATCACTGGATTGGTTGAGACTCGCTTATTTACATATAGCTGTAATATTGCTGAGTGCGGCGTTAAACAACACACCAACCAACTGTAATTTGACTGGATATATGTAAGACTTGTTTCAAAATTGTTCTCCTCTGTTTCAGATACGGAGAACATCCGATTTGTATTTGCGGCGGTGAAAGACACCATTCTTCAGTTGAACCTGAAGGAGTACAATCTGGTCTGAAGACGGGTTGAGCCGGGCAGCTTAAAGTTGGCAATTAACGTCTTTTTGTGAAAGTGTCCTTGATCGCTGATCGATTCATGATGCAGTTGATTCAGCCAGTACTACTGGTGTCGCCATTACGTCAAGTCTCCTTTGACCTGCACAGTCCCCCCCCTCCCCCCCCTTACCTTGAAACGATTGATTCCTGTGCGTACGTTGTGACAAGCGTCTATCTCTGCATCTCTCTCGCACTTGCCATCGTCATCAATATAGATGGATGTTTGTGATATTATCTACTGTCCCAGTTAGCGGACGACCACGTTAACAGTTTGACGTATACAGAGACTGTTCGGCTTGGAACATGGGCAGGGGAGGGAGGGATGGGATGGGAATGAGGTATTGAAGCCATGTAGTATCGTGTAGTGGAGTTTTGGCTTTCTCTGACAGCACAGAACTACCACTTGCCCAGGATCCGCGCCACAGTATCAGTCAACCTTCATTAAACCTGTTTCTTCTTCTGTCACAATGTTTTTGTTTCCACCTGACTGCAAGCCACGTGTGACACCCCGTCTGACTGGCAGACGCTAAGTGGCAGCATCTGTTGTTATTGTTGTTGAATACAAAACCATGGACAACTTTCTGCCATTTTGATAATTCAACAACACAACCACCTCTTTCTTACCCAGTTTGGGTCGTCATCTCACGGACTGAAGGTACGATCCAGGAAATGTCGAAGAGGGGGAGGGAGGACGGAGAGCGGGCCAGTCGCACTTAGCGACTGTTTTTAAGTGCGACTGATCTATTTCCAGCTGTCTTGCTGGCACCGAAATTTGCTTGAAGGGCATGTTTATTTGTGAGTCCACACCGAGCTGAACCTGCTCATCAGAGGGCCCAGGACCATTCAGAAGGGCTTGCAGGCATGTGGGAGGTCAACCTTGACCCTCCTGTGTCGTCACAGTAACAAGTTCACAGAAGAGGAAGACGTGAAATACATACTGACTTTGTCCCTCTGAAGGTGTATGCTGGGGCACGGTACGGATCGTCTACGACGCCTGCACGTCGTACACTTCCCATTTGTAGGTACAGAAAATTGTACATAGCTTTTAACAGTGGACAACACTTGTGTTTGTTCCTTACCGGAAAATGTGTCAACTTCTTATGTTTGTGGTGTCAGCTTGTGTTTATATCTAAGTACAACTCCTCAGTGACTGTGTGCTCAGAGCAATACACCATCAGCCCATTTTGTTTACCTTTCTAACCATCCTCCACCTTGTCCACAGTGGACAGGGTCCGTAGGCCAAATTACTCAAATTGGACGTTTCTTTTACTTTGGTGTATTTCTCCGAGCACTTAGATTGCAAACACTGATCACTACTGACCATGAGAATGATAATGTATGTGCAAAAGAGGACTGTATAGTAATTGTTGTGTGAAAAGTTCTTGTGTATAACTGTGCTGCCACAATTTTCATACCACCTGGATCTAACAGGCCGTTACTCGCTTTTGATACATATTGACTGTCTACGTGTAAGAAAAGTAGTGTTAATATTTTGATGTCCAGCTGTGTGAATGTTTATAATTATTATGGTGAATTTGATTATAATAATTATTATTATTACTACTATTATTGTAATTATGATGGTTTATCGCCGTGGAGATATATCAAGGAGATCTGATTCAGGATGTGGGTGCCTCGTGGAGCATGTTGCTGCATGGCTGTGGAGTCAGTACCCAGAGGTGGGACTCCCAAACAGAAGGACTATGTAGGTGTTCCAGCACTGACCAAGTTTACCTGCATGCAGGGATCTGCAGGAATTCTCTGCCAGAAGGAGTGCCCTGCAGACAGGATTAGCACGAGTGACACAAACCCAAATACTTGTCTTGTGACCGGCATTTTATGCTTACATTTTGAAAATGGCTGTATCTGGCATTTAACAATTGACTGTGTCCTGGGCTTATGATACACGTTGAAGGAGAGTGGCAACATCCCCATGTTGTCCGAGCCTTCCCCATTGACCAGAAGACCAAGGCTATCTGCAGACCGTGTGTTGATTGACCATTGACACTTCAATACTGCCACAGGCTGCTGTCTCTACAGCCATTGACTGCTCCAGCAGTTGGTGGGAAACCAGTGATAGCAATTTTCGTCAATAATTTTTGGTTTGAAAGAAACTGATATTGCTTCGTATCATGAGATATTCATATATCCTAGACTTATTGTGTGTTTGGATGAGAGTTGTCTCCCTTTGACTTTTTTACTTTGATAGAACTAGTTTGAAATTTCGAAAAAGGTCATTTTATGCTAAGGCTCGAGTTGGAAATTGCGAGTTAGCATATTTGTTATTTTCCATTGTTGAAAGGGGAAGGGGAGATAAGTTTGAAAGGGAGACAATCCTTGCCAAAAAATTTGTAATGTATGTATACGTATGCATGTGCAATTAGAGTTGTGCCCCTTGACTACTGGATGTATTGTATGAGTGTGTGTGCATGTGGCCTTCATTGAGGTGTTTGTCTCCCTATAGATCCGACAGCCTGTTCTGGAGGAAGAAGGACTTGATGGGTTAAATAGGCACAGTGCACACACAGTTATGACCACAAGCCTGCATTCTTTCTACTGGCTTTTCCAAGCTATAAGGCAGCATACAGACTCTGAGAGACTCACTTAGGTCAGTTTCTGACTCTAGGCAAACAGACTGTCAAGCATGCATGGGCTAGAATAAGTAGTTTGCTGGCAGCACATCCAGTAATAAAAATACCTCAATTGTGCAATCTTCTAAGCCTTATCAAAATGTTCTATTGACTTTGGCTATTCAATCCAGTTCATACTTAAAACTGACTTAATTTTTTAATACTTTCATGGCATTCTTGTTAAAGACTCAAAATTGAGGTAACATTTATTGTTAATAAATCTTCGCGAATGAGAATGATGTTTTGTCAAATGAACACCTCCTACTTAAGCTATTTAGACTGTTTTTTTATTACTGATTACCGAATTCAACTTTTCACACGAACTATGCTGACAACTCCCTACTGTATGTTCCTTGTGGGTATGATGACTCGTGTATTTCTGTTGTACGTAGTAGTGTTTCTAATTGGTTTCAACAGAGCTGAATTCAGTCGAATTTGAAAACCTGAGCATTTGTATGTGTGTGTACATTTTATATCAGAATTAATCAAGTATGAATGTTGTGAGCCCTGAGTTGCTTCTGCATGTCAATTACTGTAAGTCGAGACTTTTTCAAATTTACGCAATTGCCTTTGGACTAGACAAAATTGTCACCCTCAAACCATGTGTACTCCTTCACCAGGCTGACCAGGTCGTGGCGAACTTGTACAACGTCTCCTGGCTGACTGTTGTCATGGAGATGTGAAAGTACACATGGCTGTATTTTGACTTTTGCAATTGCATAAGAAAGTAGATTTAATTCATTTGGTGAAGTGTGCCACCGGTAGACTCCTCCCAGTCATTAGATGTCTGTACACGGTTTGTGTACCTGTGTTTAACACAAGCCGGGAGAGAGCTTCATGCATGTACAGCGATTCACCTTGATACATTTGTGTATAAATATATAAATACCTTCTTCATGTCTGTGGGAGGCTGAGTGATTGTGCCCCGTTTTAGAATAATTACTTGTAACAGGTGGAAGGTAAGTAGCAACTTTTCTACACGGAACATTCATATGATGTGCTCAACTAAGCCACTGGAATATATCGCTGTTACCACTCCTAGTCACCTTGGGAGGAAGGGTATCGAATGTACTCTGTAGCACCACACACGAGTCCGTTCAGCAGCTGGAGTCCCTTTAGATTTGTGGGCCATATTGGAGGTTTTTTACATCTGAGAAAGGACGTTGGTTCGTCCTCTTCCCAGCTTTTGGTCTCTTTAGAATTTTGGGTTTTGGAAGAGAAAATGATTGAAACGTTGCCAAGGACACAGCTTGTTTTCCATTTGTGCTGCCTGAACGGACTCATGTGTGGACTTGTACAACTCACATCATTTGATCATGACTGATGTTTGTTCATGGAATGCATCCTGTATTTATGGCTTATTTCTGGTGATTGAGTGATAGGTCCCATGGCTTCTGTAGCAGCCCGTGTGTTGATTTCATTGTTTAACTAGCTGTTTGTGATTGCATGGGGAACAGGTGTCTCCCCTACATAGTTCTACAGAGTTGTGTCCCATTACACTGCCCACTTTTGTTGCCATTGCCAAAATGTAGTGTGGAAAATAGGACACTGTTTTGAAACAATGTTTGCAATTGGATTTGAATAAAGCTCCCTTAACGTTAATGTCAAAATTGTCTCGGACCTCAAGAAAGTTTTGAGAGAAACATGAAGCCTCTTTGTATTGTGGTATATATGTTAGTGATAATGCAATGTTACTTTAATTGACCTAGTTCAATCCCAGAATAACTACCAACAACTAGTGCCTAGCGTTATCTCTGTTTGTCAACTCTTGTGTCGCAACCATGGACTTCTTCATCATAGGAAGCAGGATCTTTTATATGCCAGTGTCCTATTGTTCAATAGTGTAACTGTGATTTTGTAACAAGTTTGACATGTTTGTTTGAATGGGCCAGGTGCAACATATATATCCTTTCTGCTAGAGAGACCCGGATTCTCTTCTTGTCCCGCACTGTTTGGATCTAGTTTAGATTGGTCAGGTGCACCTGATGGTGTGACATGATCGATGTTGTTGTGAAGCGACATGCTAGATCTTTCCTGTTCTGGGGCATACAGGGCTAAGGAGCGCCTCTCTGGATAATTAATATTGGAGCAGTTCACACTGAAATGTAGGGACTATTTGAATTATTTGGGCTTTTTGCATAATGTAAGCGTAACTGGAAGTGTTTGAAACAGGTCTTTTCTAGTCTTGAGGGAGGTGGTGTCCGATTTACAAATTGCGAATGATGTTCTTCTAACTTTAGACCCCCCTGTCTTGCAGGTAAAGTTAGGAGTGCCATTTCAAAATTTGCAAATCTGAAGAGAAACCTCGGTGACTTGATTTTGGAAGATGCCATAATGGATGAAATCTTCTTTTACAAAAGCCCCAACAAATAAGCTAGGAATAGTGGAACACGCCTCTGGACAAAAGAGTGCTGGTGTGAAAGGACCAGGATGGTGTCTTGGAGCCAGTGAAGGGTCCTTTTGGGCCGCATGGCATCCTGGGCAAAACATGGCGTCCTGGTGACCATGAACTTGCAGGACGTTTTGTCTTAGGACAAGATTGGCATCATGACACCCAAGGACAGATGCCGAGGCTACTGTGCAATATGGTGATGACTGTTTCGAGCTTTCTGTTGGTTGAGCTGTCCCACAATAGAGAAAGTTTCGCCCTATTTCTGAGTGCATAATTTGACCAAGTGCTTAACTTGAATCTCATATTTCATGGTGTTTTGTCCACACATAATACAAATGCGATCTCAGAAAGATGTCTGCATTTTTATGGTAAGCTGGAATTTTTAAATCCCCGACTTGTTAATGGCAATTGTTCTCGCCTATTTCAAACTTGAGTTTGGGCACAAATTGGGAGGCATAGAAAGTGTTAAATGTGCAACTGACAACCTACTGTAAATTTGTATGTAATATGAAGTGCTTGTTTATTATTTAATAATTGGAAGTTTGCTCAATATGAACTGCATTTTGTAGACTGATTTATAAATATTGTGACCTGGAGGCAGCAGTGTCAGCTGTGTCTCTCCCCCCACCAGTTGTCTCCCTTGGACTGGCTACTTGTGGTTGCCTGTCCAGTCTGTTGCTCTGTATAAAGGCTCAAGTTTGCACTATCTGGTTATTACACAGTGTTCATTTTCTCTGTAAATGTATTTGTACCACAGTGCATGTATGTAAGTATGTATGTATGTATTCTCGGGGTTCTGTTGCTATGGCAACAGGTACTCTGTTCAACAAGTTTCTGGGATTTGTTTTGCATATTGAAGAGCCATTTTAAGCTCCAATATGGAGTACCAGTGGGTTAGTCGCGGACCCTATCAGGTGATCATTGTATTAAGAGCAGACAGTGTTATTAATGTTGATAATCATGGTAGGGAATGTATTTTGTAGCGCTTTTTGTAGTCTCGTTGCCATGGAAACGTGATGCATGGGTGCGTCATCAAAAACTCTGTTACGCAATTTATCTTATTGACTATGCGCCAATGATGTGTCATTTTGTTTGAATGATGTGAAAATAATCTCATTTTTTAAATACAACATTAAAAAGTGGCACTGACTTGTGTTTTATTTGTGTTTATTATGGAGGATGCCGTGGGACCACGTTCAGGAAGACATGGACAAGCAGTCGTCATTTGAAATGATTGCCGTTATTCATATGGGATTCTGGCTATGCTGTGTTGTGTGCATGGCGGAGAAACGTTGGGTGGGTGTTCGGTAGTCTTGTGGTTCAAGCGTTTTTCGTCGGAAGACCTGGGTTCGAATTCACGCACACTGACTGATTTGCATCGAGGTGAAAGTTTGAAGGCTCATCATTGGTAGGACAGGGTATATTCCTCTCACAACGGACAATGCATCATGCCATATATACTCACCAGCATTGAAAACGCACCACTTACACAAGCTGAGATTACTAAAAGCACGTGTAAGCAATTGATGTTTTCTTTAGTGGATAATAACAGATGGACGACTGAGAAAAACAACACAGAAAAAACGCTCATTCATTTAATTGTTTCACAGTCAGAAAGGATCAAACACGTGGGGTTAAATCGAAAAGTCAATATTGCGTGTGACCGCTGTTTGCATTAACACATGAAATATCTGGTCACGGTTGTAAAGGGCATCAACTCTTCCTTGACAGACATGAAGGCAGTCCAGTGATTCCACCCCAGACCAGGATACTGTCACCACCACAACGGTCTGTGTGAACCACACACTCATCAGCATAACGTTCACCACGTCTACGCAAAACACATAATCGGCCGTCAGCATTACGTCGGTGCAAACGTGACTCATCAGTGAATACTACTCCATGCTATTGTTGTAACCTCCATTGAACATACCTTTTAGCACATTGTATACGCTCATTACAGTGTCTGTCGGTCAGAATTGGTCAAATGTAGTAACGTCAAGCATGGAGCCCGGCAGCGTGTAGACGGCGTTGCCCGGTATCGGCGCTGATGACCCCACGTCGACCTTGAACTAGTGCAGCAGTCCTGACAGCCGGCAGCGTTCGATTACGGACATGGTCATGGACAATATGGCGATTTTGACGGGGCGTCGTGACACGTTGTTGCCAAGGTCGTGGAAGGTCACGGGAGCTGCCTGTCTGCTATGAAGCCTAACGATGGTGGAGTAGCTACATCCAAGTCGTCGAGCAATATCTCTGCTGCTGGTGCCAACCTGAATCATGCCTAGTGCACATTCTCTTTCGTGAAGTGTTATCCCCGGCATCTCTGTCCTCGTTTCACAATCGTTAGTAAAGCAATGAGAATCGTTTCTCATACACCTGCTTTTAAGGTCATAGTCAGCATAATTTCAGAACGAAATTCAATTTTATCATGGCGTGGATGCATGTTGTTGCGTTTTGGAGTTAAGATTCATATTGTGAACAGGAACTCGTTTCTAAAACATTTTTTTTCAACTGGACATGCCCTGTGACTTCATGTTAGTTGTATTCATTGACAATTGTCATGCAGAAATCCATCTTGATGAAAATATGGACAATTTTAGACTGGTGCGTTTTCAATGCTGGTGAGTATATTTGAATCATTTACACAGTATGATCTCTGAGGATTGTTTCGAACTGCACCAAGGACCACCCGAGTTTAAAACTGGAATAAAAGAAATAATATTGTCCAAGTGGGATGTATTGAGGATATTCACAGTAACAAATACAAGAGTGTCAACCTGCTGCCTCTAATGCTGTGCCCCGTTATGAAGTAATCCGGATGCAGTACATTGGACTACACGTAGCATTTATCTAACACTTAATGTCATCGTTCAAATGTTGAACTTTATTTAAATACTTTTTTCTTGCAAATAGGGTTAAATCGATGAAACAGTTATTCTTAAGCTTGTGAATGCAAACACATTGTATATACAAAATATCAAGCTAATTTACTTGTACAAGTTGTATATTGATGTGACCCGCCAAGACCAACTAATTTAGGTGATATGGCAGATGCCAGGAGAGGTGTTTGGTACTTATATGTACTGAAATAATATATATATATATATATATATTTGTAGGTCTTAGTTCTATTTAGAAGAGAATGTTTGTGACCAGAGAATACAGACCACTCAATTAATCTGTTGTTAAGTTTAGATCACTCTATACATATGAAGCATATTAATGGCGCTGCAACCTTTATACATATTTCCAGAATGGTTTGCAGTGAATTTACTCCTGTGCAGGTTCATCTCTGCAACACATGGTCTTCAAAGTACATTTTCTGCGTCACTGTAGGACAGTATTCATTCATGTCCTCTGTGAGTAAACGCATTAAAAAGATAACGTCACGACTTCAAGGGGATTGTGAAAGTAGTTATTGGTCACAACCGGAGCTTGCAGTCCTGCTTCTGCCACGTGTCTCATTAGCATGCGGTCTTCAACCCATCACCTTCCCACGCCGCTCCCAAGGACGTCAAGAACAGCGCACTCTGTGCTTCATACTCTGTCAGATACACGGTCAAAGGCAGACAACTCTTTGACTCCCACTGTTATTTGAACGTTATGTGTCGGAAGACCTGGGTTCTAATCCACGCACACAGGTAGATTTTGCTTCGAGGTGAAAGTGGATGTTCATCAAGGTTAAGGCAGAGCACATTTTCCGTCATACCTTACAATGCATGAAGCCATTTGAATCCTCTGAGAAATATTATTTGAGAGAGTGAGTTTAGTTTTACGCCGCACTCAGCAATATTCCAACTATATGGCGGCGGTCTGTAAATAATCGAGTCTGGACCAGACAATCCAGTGATCAACAGCATGAGTATCGATCTGTGCAATTGGGAACCGATGACGTGTCAAACAAGCCAGCGAGCCTGACCACCCGATCCCGTTAGTCGCGTCTTACGACAAGCATGGGTTACTGAAGGCTCATTCTAACCCGGACATTCACGGGTAAATATTATTTGAAATAAAATAAAATAAAACATTGGTTGAAAACATAAACCCATCATACTGCTTTGTGGTTCTTTCGATCTACACCAAGAGGCATGGATTATTCGTTCAGTGATACAATCTGATTGTTTTTCCTGATATGAGCCCTTAGTCACAATTCCAGGATCCGCCAAGAAACAGTTTTCCATACCTAGGTGTCAGTAAAGCTAACGTTGTTTGGGTTATGAAGGTTAATGCAAAGGGAAAACGGAAAACTAAGGCGTTCGGCGTTCTGAATGATGAAGTGTGAACTACAGATATGAATAATCACGTTGTGTACGATAAAAGATTAAAACAATCATTTTGGTGACGTTTCTTTCGCCCGTGAGTTTACAAGGGTATTAACCTGGTTCCACTAAAGCCGTGCTGTGTTAATAGGTATAGTCTGGCTGTTCCTTTCTTTGCACCCCTCCTTCGTAACAAATAGTGAACTTTGTCAAACTTTTAATGATAGTTTGTTAAACAGCTTTTTTTGTTTAGGACATACATTCTGCGAAAAAATCACAGAGTTGGTCTGATGTTTTTATTATGATCAGTGTTTCATCGAGTATTATAATATGTTTAGTAGTTTTCGAGTTAGATTGCAATTCATCGGTCCGATTTTGAGCCAAACAGACTATAGTGCGGATGCAGTATGCAGAATGCTGGAGCATATTTATCTCACACTTGATGTCCACATTAAATTGTTGATGTTTATTTAAATACTTTTTTTTCGCGCAAAGAGGGCCAAATCGATGAAATAATTAGCCTTACGCTTTCCTATACATACGCATTCTACAAGAAAATCCCAGGCTGATTTATTTGTACCAGATGTTTTACATTGATGTGACTCACATGTCCTTTAATTAGATGCCAAGACCAAATTTGCTGTAAAGGTGTTGGATGAAAACAAACCGAACAATTTTTGTGTTGAAGTGTGGGGTGTGAACTATATTAACGTCAAGATACACACGGGTGTCAGGAACCTTATGATGCTTCTGATTCCGTGTCCTGTTAAGGATTGTTTGATTCACCAGAAATTAAAGAAAACGTTTTTAAGCAATTATTATGTTTACGTCATTTCAGATATATAAAGCATTATAAATGCACCCCAAACTGTAACCGTAATGGATGTTTCCACAATGTCTTTGGAGTGATTTTATTTCTGTTTGGTTTGACGGTAACAACGCTTGTACATCAAAACACAGTTTCTATACCAGGGGCGGATCCAGAGAGTGTGTGTGTGTGTGTGTGTGCGCGCGTGTGTGCGTGTGTGCATGCGGGAATGCGCACCCCCCTTCTCCCCCGAAAGGAATCCCTGAGGTGCATTTCCCCCTCAAACCGAAACATGAGTCTTATTAACCGATTCAGACAATGACCTACTTTCAGCCGATCCCAATTTTTCGTGTGAAAGTGAAAAGAGACACTACAAACAACTATGGTTACACTAAATTCCAATTCCTTGTTTCATAAAAAAATGGTATTTACAAATTAATTTTAAGTTTAAAGTTTAAAAAAAATGGCATTTCTCTATTTTATGTCGAGGAGACAGCATGTCGATAAGTAAGACGTCACAGACTGCCCCTGTTTGACGAGGTCGTACAATGATTCACAATTCATCTGGCTCACTGGTTACACCTGTTATGTGTTCTTGGCGCGTATTCAATGTATTTGTGTAGCGTACAATGTGATTGATATGATATCAAGCCCGTACCAGACCGCCAAACTTTTCTAGCGGCCGAGCCTCGTTTTGAGATTTCCACGATTACCAGATTTCCGTTTGTCAGAGCTCGCTGTACGACGTGTTTGCAAGGATTAGAAGGAGCGTAGTGTTGCAACATACAAGTGCTTAGATGTATCAAGTAATATTGATTCATATTTATATATACTGTTGAATGAGTTGGTCTCAAGATTCTGGACTGGTTATTGTACTAAGTTGCGAAATAGGACGGAACCAAGTCAGCAGGAAACGAGACTGCTGTGTAATCAATATTTTGACTTGCACGTTGGGACTTCAAGACAAATCTATAACCCCTCCTCTCCCAAATCTTGGATCTGCCATTGTATAAGACAGTAGAACAGTTCGTACGCATGTCGACTTGACTGTGTGTACAAACCGATGTAATGACTTGATTGGGTAATGATAATAAAACTCTTTCATAATCGAATTCACACGACAGTTTGTTGTTAAATAATGTGGAAATATATATTTATTCAGTAGTTCGGCCTCATAGCCTAGAATATAATTGTACTTCGATAGAACACATATCGTCACGTGGTGTACAATACATCAATATTTCTATTTTTATTTCCATCTCAGTAGAAATACATTTCTAAGAAAAATGGAAAGTGTTCCTAAAGTATCCTCATTGTTTGTGTTTAACATATCACACAAGAGTTTACTTTAATCTTAGGTCATGATGCATTTTACAAATAAACATGACGTGGAAATCGTCTTCCTTATCGTTATAATCACATTGCAGACAGAGTGGTATAGTTTTGTTTCTACCTAGATTATTATTATCAAAATCATGAAGAGATCTTCTAAATTTACATAAAGCTTATAACGATATCATTGGTCAATGACGCTTTAAAAAGTTTCCGTGCCAACTGGAAAAAGTATTACCCGCTGCCAGGGTAACCGCCAAGCTCTCCGCCGAGAAGCTGTATCGCTAACATTCGTATGACGTGATAATATGACGCATGCAGTGCACAGAGTTCGAAAAGTTTAATTAGCTGTTTTGTACACATTTATTTTACCTTAAACATGGCGGTACGATAAATACGCTATAAACTTCTCCATCGGACAATACGGTCTGATGTACGCCTTTCTGTAGCAGTGTCATCCCCTGGGTAACACTGCTACAAAGAGGTGTACATCAGACCGCATTACCCTCGAGAGAAGCATACAACTTATATATACTCAGCAGCAAAACAAACGTCAGTACGAATTCAAAATTAGGTAGGCACTGTAATCAAATCATTACAGAAATGGACATAATAAGCGGATCAAAACAATTTTTGTGTACAATATCTTGACACATCAATAAATAACTCAGCACAATTTCAAGACATTACGTTAACGTTTGCAGTCCATGCAGACTCTTGACTTCAGTATCTAGTGTGACCACCACGAGCGGCAATAACTGTAGCACAGCGTCTATGCATGGAGTGCACCAATCGATTGATGAAGGCCATTGACACCTGGAACCACACTCTGAGAAAGGCCTGGCGCAATAAATCGGCTGTGTTCGGCCTTGGTATGACATTATTCAGTCTCCTCTGAATTTCATCCCAAAGATGTTAAATTTTGTTTAAATCAGGACTAAGGGCTGACCACTGCATAATGTTGACACCGTTATGCTGTAGGAAGTCCCGTGTAGCTCTGGCAGTATGGGCCCGGGCGTTATCAAGCTGGAAAATGTTGTTCCGGTGACGTGCGAAATGTGGTATGACGTGGGATCTGAGAGCTTGGTCGATGTAGCGCACCGCTGTGATGCCGCCTCCTCTCCCTGAACCAAGGTTCTGGAACACCACAGGACCCACTCTCTGGTTCAGGCCTATTCCACCCCATACCATGATGCTTGCACCTCCCAATGAGTCTCTTTCCATAACACATTGGTCTGAGTAACGCTGGCCACGTCATCGCCATATTCTTGTTCTGCCATCTGCAGTTGATACGCAGTACCGACTCTCATCTGTGAACAGAACAGTTCTCCATTGCCTGTATCGCCAGTTTTGGTGTTGTAGGGCAAACTGTAGACGTTCACGCCGATGACGAGGGGTGAGGATTGGTCCACGGTAAGGTCTACGGCAATGGAGGTTCCCGCTGTTAAGACGTCGGCGTACTGTATCAGTACTGATTGGTCTTCCGTGTGTTCCCACTGTCTGGCGTGCTGTTTCGGATGCCTGCATGAAGGAATTCTGTACATGCTGTCGCACAACATGGCGGTCTTGTCGTTTGTGGTCACCCTTGGTCTGCCAGTACGGGGGCGATCATTTGTGGTGTTGTTGGCCCAGAAACGTTGCTGCAGCCTGTAGATGGTCCGAACGTTGACCTGAAAGTGATTGGCAACGGCTTGTGCAGTGTGGCCAGCTTCAAGTCTTCCTAGCGCCTGGTTCCTCTGAGCTGTCGTGAGTAACGGCATCCTGCTGACGTTGTAATGTGAATGTTTCAACCAGGTTTGGGGGTGCATTTTATAGGGCTGTTCCTTGTGAACAGCACGTGCAGCATGAGTTGCATGAAAAACATGGAGAACACCGTACCATCTCCGATGTCAGGTTGCGTTTTTGAGATCATTTCCTGGGTTCCATTCTGAGTTTGGGAAGGAATGTCTTTGCTCAGGTAAAGTTGGAGATGTTGTCAAAAATATACGATCAAAACATGAAATGAGTTTACAGTTATCCGTTTCTGCGAAGGAAAATTCAAAACTGACGTTTCTTTTGCTGCGTAGTAATAAATATATCAATAAATGAAATGGAAATACACACAAGGCATCATTTGCCATTTTTTCAAATGAACAAATTGTTTCTTTGGTAATTTCTACTGATCTACCTGAACCCCACCTCTAGATCCGCCACTGCATAGTGGCGACCCTTACCTGATGTGCAATCCAACATGCTAATGTCATACCACAATGTCATTAGCACTACAGAACCGTCTGTTTGCCATGTTTGCCTCTCTGAATACTAGTATACTACAGTATTCCGTTTTGCGTTTAGATTTGCCATTTTCTTATTCCTTGACAGTCAAAGTATCCAGGCAGTAAGCTAAAGTGAGGTTTGGATAAGTTCCTCTTTTAGGTTAATGGTAACATATTGATAACATGAATAATACGGGGTGTTGCGATACTTTTTTCCATGTGTATATTTCACTCGGGTCTGATTATTATGATGCTGTGCTTTCCTCTTCACGTGCAATACTCCTGCCCTTCAGATGGGTCTGAAACACAACGGTTCATTTATTATTGTCCTTGCTGCCTTTCAGAGTAAGACTGACTGACTGAGTTTGGTTTTACGCCGCTTTTAGCAATATTCCAGCAACATCACGGCGGTGGACACCAGAAATGGGCTTCACACATTGTGCCCATGTGGGGATTCGAACCCGGGTCTTCGGCGTGACGAGCCAACGCTTTAACCATTAGGCTACCCCACCGCCCCTTCAGAGCAAGAGTCCCAAAGACACATCATTTGGCAAACTAGAGTGAGTGAGTGAGTTTAGTTTTACGCCGCACTCAGCAATATTCCAACTATATGGCGGCGGTCTGTAAATAATCGGGTCTGGACCAGACAATCCAGGGATCAACAGCATGAACATGATCTACGCAATTGGGATACGATGTGCCAACCCAGTCAGCGAGCATGACCACCCGATCCCGTTAGTCGCCTCTTAAGACAAGCATGGGTTGCTGAAAATCAATTCTAACCCGGATCTTCACGGGACCACTGAACTAGAGGGTAAATTAGGGTAATACATACGGGTATAATGGAACAGTCCACTGTCTAGCGAGTAGAGCAGTGAGTGAGTGCGTTTTAGTCACATCGGCTATATTTCAGTTATATTGTGACTTAAAAATTATAAATTAACAATAAACGCGACTAAATTATATAAAAACCCGTTGACAAAGGACAGTAAAACTAGATTATCACAGAGAATAAAAACTACCAAGTAACTTTTAAAATTAGACAAATATTACAGACAATACAATATAAATACGGGCTGGAAATTACCAGCAACTGAGAGTAGAGTAGGGTGAGCCTGAAACAGGTTCGTTACTGAGAAGTTTAAACTTTGTTGTGATTACATGATAATCTGTCTTCTCTTCTCAAAATTGTTTTTACGATCAATTGTTATCGAATATACAAACAGGTTGTCACTGAGAGGTTTTGTTTTGTTTATTGATTGAAACATTTTATTAATTCACGAAAAGGATTTGGCACAAGTTATCCAACTTAGAAAAGCCCTCTCCCAATAATTACACAATTCATCTTCCAAAATGGTACACACGTGACACACATAGGCAAGGATATGTACAACAGACGTTAACTGAGAAAACGTTATGTTTGACAGATATAGATATGTAGTAATTGAGAGACCTGCATTGCAATGTAAGATCAGATTAATATCAATCAGTGTTCTATTTTTAACAATATTTTCTAAAGATTATATTCCATATGAATAATATTTAAAAACGTCCGCGCTGCATTGAAGCCAACCTCATTTAGCTATAGTGCTCGTTTATTTGGAAATATTAAGCTAACAAACAAGTTGACTAGCATATTTTTTTAACACTTCTGTGTTATGTGACCGCCTCCGTGGTGTAGTGGTTAGAGCGTCTGCCCGGAGAGCGGAAAGTCGCGGGTTTGATCCTCGACCGCATCATACCAAAAGACGTTAAAATATGGTACTTGTTGGTCCCTGCCTGGCGCTCGGCATTAATGGGTACAACAAGGACTGGTCGGCTCGGAGTCAGTATAATGTGTCTGAGTGGGGTATTCATGCTTCACTGCGGCATGGTATCTCAGTGGGCTAGCACTATAAAACCAGCTGGGCTAGTACAAGCAGCCGCACATACACATACACACGCATGTGCGAAATATTCTCAAGCACGACGTAAACCCAATTCCACCTCACTTCTGTTATGTTATTGTTCATATGTATGCCATATTGCTGCAATATTCGCAAAAAAATATAATGAAGTCTAATTCAAGTTGGTATGTAACGCGAGTTCTGATTGGTAAATGCTATAAATTTCCGACCGTATATCACCAAAACTTTTGATTATTACCCATACGGGTGAGGAGATCCCGTGTAATATCTTTTTGATATTTGCACAGTGTGCAATTTAGTGATTCTCGACGTTGATTGGTTAATCGTATATTTGTACATTTTCATTGGATGCCGGAACTACTTTCACACACTATGTTCATTATAAAGTTTCATCCATTCATTGATAAATTGACCGTGATGTAATCGCACTTATTCGAGATTTAAAAACAGAACAAAAACAACATACAGGATTTCGATTTTGATGCTAATTTAATGTTTTATTTCATACTTCATTAACAATACAGCTTCGTCTACTTAACATGTTTTGTAATAAACAAATGTCTAAAATTGATAATCATAAAGTCGTCTTTGTAAACAAACATGGCTACCCAGTTAACGCCAATCAAAGTCAATGACCTGGTCAAGACGGAGACATTACAGGATCTGTAACAATAATAACACAACCGCTAAATTCCTTTCACGTGTATGTGATAAACACGGAATATGGAGAAATGGAAGTTGCAAGGTACAGACTGAAAGTGTTGCCAGAAACAATCTCGAGCGAGTCGGCTTCTCACCGAAGTCCCCACCTGCCCCAGAGTGTCATAAATGACTTGCTACAAGATGATTTTTTGGACCCCCCAATCGAAAACAAAACTTTTGACAGGTTTGTTCCTGTTTATGACCATGACATTGATAACTTCTTGGCTGCGAACGAAAACGAAAACACAATGAAAAAGACAAAATTGGACATGAATCTTGTTTATAGATTTCTTCGCGACACTCTTAATGATCCAAGACAACTTGAAGACATTGCCCCCCATGAACTGAACACTATCCTATGTAAATTTTCCATATCGGCAAGAAAATCTGATGGTTCGGGGTATGAACCGTCTTCCCTCCGGGGAATAAAGGGTAGGGTTGAACGCTATTTGAAGCGTAATGGGTACTCACCTTTGTTAGCCGAGTCAATGCATTTCATGAAACTGAGGGAGGTTTTGAAACTAAAACTCAAGTCATTAAAAAAACAAGGTAAAGGAAACCTACCATTCCGCGCTGATCCTGTATCCGACACTGAATTACAGAAACTCCGTGAATGTGGCCAACTAGGCACCAGCACGCCAGATTCCATTTTAAACACATTATGGTGGAACAACACGGTTTATTTTGGCTTGATATCAGGCGTATGCAGTGGGGTGATGTAACACTAAAAGTTGATTCAGAGAACCGAGAATATCGCCAGTATATTGAACGGCAGTCAAAAACCCATCAGGGTGACCAGTCTCGCGATCTTGCTCCTAAAGCATGGGCACAACCTGGGGATCTGTGTTGTCCAGTCGCTGTTTACAAGTCGTACCGTGCCTTGAGACCACTAAACTTCTCCAATGATGATCATCCATTCTATTTGGCAACAAACACCCAGTTTGGGGTACGAACCGGGAATACTTGGTGTAAACGTCAACCGGTTGGCAGAAATAAACTGGGATCACTGATGAAAACAATGGCAAGTAAAGCAGGGCTTTCTAATGCCAAACGGTTGACAAACCATAGCGCCAGGAAACGTATGATTCAAACCTTGTCTGACAAAGGTGTTCCAACTCACCAGATCATGCAAGTGTCAGGGCACAAAAACGTTCAATCCATCAACAGTTATTCCACAATGAATGAAAAACAACACCAAAACATCAACAGACTTCTGTCGTCCAACTGTGATTCCACACCACGTGACACAGGCCTGTCTCTCCCTTGCCTACAAAATGCACCAAAGCCTCAGTCGAATCAGTCCCAATCAGTCATGTCCCAGATGAATTCAGTTTCCCATGATATCCATGCTGTTCATACTCTTTTTTCTGGTCCAATTTACGCTGGAGTATTCAACTTCACTATTTCTTCTTTCAACCAACCACCTGCACCGAAAAGGCGTATTTTGCCTGTTGTCGACTCGGACTCGGACTAAAGTTGGAGTTATCGTTCCTGACAAGGACACTGACGCGAGCCAAAACTAGGTCAAAATCAAAATGTTGACAAACGTTAATAATTGTGAACCGTCTTCTTAGAAAAAAGTTCACCATTCCTGCGTTTTATTCTTCTCTTGCAGATTTTCACTGTTGTATCAGTTAACGTTGAAAAGAATTGACAGGTTTTTGCTGTTTTGTATCCAACCACAGCCACCCACTTTCTGTCACGAGTAGATCTAGGCTACACATTTGCGATCTACGACTAAATATTAAATATGCGAGTGTACTCGTTAAAAATAAACTTAATCTTTACAGGGGGGTTTGGGTAATAAAATCGTCATGAAACGAATTTGGAAACTGATGAATTGTGTTGTTTTTCATACCGTTTTCTACAGTACTATATTGGGATTCGTATGCACTTCCATTAGGCGTGAGCAGTTTGGTTTCCTCTGCGCATTAATACGGATCAGCTGATTACGTTGTAAACACATAACGAGGTGCGGCTTTGAGTTCATAAGTACTGGTTTCTCGTTTTAATTACAGAATGGGTAATAAAAAAAATAACCCACGAGGGACAGTGAACATTAATTTCACTCGGGACATATTTCCCGTAATCACTCGTACCTCGTGGGTTATTCTCTAAATGTATCCCTACACACGTTGTTGACAAACAAAGATGGCGACCTGTCAATCAAGCGAGAATGCTAGCTTAGATTACGGTGGTTTTGTTATCGATTACGATGTAACATTTGAAAGTGGTATGACCGATCGAAACCTTCTACTTGCTGCTGAAGAAATCGACAGCATTTTGGCTACATTGGCATGTGAGAAGACCGAGGATGTCAACGCCGCGTCTAACACGGAAGTGACAGCCGTCAATCATGGCGTCACCGATGTCGATAACAGCGTCCCGGCGAGGGATACCGCATCTGTGAAAACAGAGGACAAAGATCGCTTCCCTGAACTGGAGGAGTGAGATTTGGAAAATCTTTTGACCAACGCTAACAGTACCAACACGGATAGAATGACCACGTGGGGTGTCGACACTTTTCGTCGTATGTAATTCTATGTCTGTGAATAATTAAAAGCTTAGAGGATTGACTTTTCACCAGAATAGAAAAATGATGACCACAACACGAAATAAAGAATGGATATCATATCCTTTCAATAATAGCTGAACGTAATCGTCGAAAACTCATGAATATGTCGAAGTAA